GGACCAAGGATTTAGAAATACATAACTTATCACTTTGCATGCAAGATACTAGGAAAGAATTGTTATAGCTAGAATTATCAAGTTATGAACCTGTGGGGAACACGTAAACCCTAGTTACTTTGATTACTTGATTAAAACTCAACATTAAAAGCTGTTAAGTGTCTCTGTCAAGTTCGTTAGTTATTTTTATTTTAGTAGGAGGTACAAAACCCCCCTTTTATGCTTTTACTTTTTAAGAAAGTCATCAACCGAACAATAGTAATAACAAGTTGGAGTTAAGTCTAGACTATTTTCCTCGTGGGAACGATCCCAACCTCACTAGTTGGGTTATTTACTTGACGCGACCGCTTTACTTCTCATTTGAGAAGTAAGTTTGAGCGTTATCAATATTCCTCTAAAGGGCCTAAACCAAATAGTTTTAAAAAGAATGGTTTAGTTTTCTTTTTAGTTTGTTTCAAAAAAATGATCTCTTTCTTTTTTTTGCAACATTGTAACTCTAACTTAATTTCCACGTGACATGTTTCAGTCGACAAGATTAAAAGATATTTTTGTACATTTGACATAACTTTAATTTACAACCACAAGATTAAAAAGTCTGTATTCTTTTCTTAAACTCCACTCCAAATCAAATTACGTCACTATATAAAAAAATATCATTAGCGGCAACTAATTCTTAATTTCCGCCAAAATGTATATTTTTAGCGTCAGTTAGCACTCTTTGTATATGTCCCTAAAGCGTTTAGCGATATTGGTTCTAATAACATTTAACTAATGCCGATAAAAATTTTAGCGTTCTTTATTAATAATGTCAATATTTAATGCCGCTAAAAGATATTTTTATTATAGTTGATCATTCTTTATTAAATAAAAGGAGTAATTGAAGACACTTTCTAAAGTAAGAACTATGGTCTTAATGGCTAGATATTAATAATATATGTATAAATAAATGTTTTTCTACTATTTTCTGCATGTTCAAAATTCATCTACTTAATCCCTTTGATCTTGTTGCCTAAATATGAGAGCAGATAATAGATGTCTAAATCCTTTCTTAATCCCTTTGATTGTTCAAATGATTTATTTATTTTATTTTTTTAGAAGAAAAAAACATCTTTAAAAATCAAAATATATATTTGTTCATTTTTTATAGTTTCTTTAAATTTATCATTGCTCCACATATAGTTCTTTTATTTTCAAAGTATATTAAACAACTTCAACATCTCCAAGTCATATTTGAAATTCAATATTGAAAGATAACCAAAATAACTCTAATTAAAAGAGTGAGCTTACAACACACATAAATAGAAGAATAGAATAGACTAACTTTGGAAGAGCGAAGACTCAGCTAAATTTCCAAATGCAGTACAATACATACACACAGGCAAGCACATATACAATGTACCTCTATGTTGTTTTAGTATGTAAATTTATACTTATAATTGTACTATATTATTAATAATTAAATAACATGGCGTACTAATTGTTAGTATCGAAAATAAGCAGGTGTAAACGCGGAAGCTAGCAAAGCAAACCTCGAAAAATCACGAGTAAGAAGACAAATGAGAAATATATCAAAAGACACAATTTAACATGGTTCGGTCAATCGACCTACATCCACAAAGGAGATGAACAATCGACTATAAATATGAGAATATAAAATACAGAGAGACACAACCTCAATCAATTCACTCAGAATATATGGGAGGTTAACACAAGTGATAACGTATCAAGCTTGTGACCCATAAATTCTCCCCCTAACCAAAACTCTCAAAGTCATTAAGACTACATTGTGAATGCTGATTAAGTTAGAAGGTATATTCCTCTATTTATAGAGTCCTAAACCTTTTTCCTACAAGAAAAGGATTAGTCAATCAAAAATCTTTTCCTAAAAGGAAAACCTATTTATGGTTTGAAATTTAGGGCAAATAAAACCTAATAAATCTCCCCCTTGGCCTGAATTTCTGACAAAATAAAATTTTCCACCTTCTTTACTTAATCTTCAACAATTTGCTTCTCCTCTCCATAATCTCCTTTGCAAAATTTATGTCTCAACACAGAGAACCTCTCTGAAACACTTTCTCCAACAAAATCTTCATTACTGTCAAAAAGGTTGCGGCTAGAACTACACTCGTCAAAATGAACACCTCCTTCTAACCTGGTTCAATCATCGATTATCGAACCACTAAATCTGACTCCATCATTGAATCTGGCTCTGATACCACTTGTTTTTTAAATATTATATATTTAAAATTTTTAATGTACACAGGTTGTTCCATCATCTGAATTTATTTTCTCAGTTTATGAAAATGGAAGAAGATATATTGTTTGTCTTGAGCGGAAAGTATGTTCTTGTGGTAGATTTCAACTAGATGAGATACCTTGTTCACATGCAATCGCTGTATTGAAAAAAAAGAATGTCACCGATATGAATCCGTATTGCTCTGATTATTACAAGCCTGATGCATTAGCAAAAACATATGAAATTCCAATGGTACTAATGCCAGATATGGAAGATTGGTCAGATCCTAATAATGTGGTTGCTGAAACTGCGTATCCACCTAGATATAGAAGATCATCTGGACGACCAAGAAAAAGAAGAAGAAAGAATGCAGATGAAAAGATTTCGGTGAACACAAACTGTTGTGGACAATGTGGACAAGAAGGACACAACAGAAGAACTTGTACTTTCTATCCAAAAGAGAAGTGCATTAGTCGTAATGTTTCTATGATATCAAGAATAATTTATAACGTAAACATTTTAATGATTTTCAGTTTTCATTATAGTTGCAAATTGAACACTTTTGGTTTAGATAAATAAACTTAATAACATGTGGTAATTAAATTTGAAGTCGTGCTTTTTATTATAAATACTTTGTTATTATTGGTTGTTGATAAATATATTTGTGTCAATATTTATTTTTAATATAAAATTTATAAATCTTATGATACACTAAAATATATAAATTTAAGAATTATTAGGTAACATATTGTACATGATACATATTGTTTATCTAGTGTATCATGTACTTTTAGTGTGTGTTTTGGTACATGTGTATCATTTGCTTTGCACAATGATACATCTTCATTAGATAAAAAATACAAAATATTATTGAGGTTAATGTGTACTTTACAATGACTATAAATCATGTATCATGTGATTTTATATAATTTAACTTGTGTAATGCTTTTTTTGATATGTTTTTCTTGAAATATACAGTAAATAATTTTACTTTTAAAAAATAATACAAATTCATATAACTATGCTATTCAATTTACCTAAATATCATGTAAAATTTAAGGATTATAGGATAACATATTGTACATGATACATACGGTTTAGCCAATGTATCAGGTATTTTTGGTGTGTGTTTGATATATATGTATCATTTGGTTTTGCCCAATGTATCATCTCCATTAAATAAAAAATTTAAAATTCTTTATTTCTATGTTTAATTATAAATACTTTGACTATACTTTATTAAAGGAATTAAACCTGTGTGGCGCTATAATATGTCTGATATTTATATTTTCAAGATAAAAATATTTGTTACGTAATGTTAAAAAAAATATTCATGAAAATTGACAAAATCAAATAAATAACATTAAAACGGATCAAAATACTTGTTCAATAACATATAAAAACAAGAAATATAACATTAAAACATTGTTTTATCATGAAATGCTACACTATGTGAACTAAATCTTCTTCTGGTGGTGGTGTGACTACGCCCCTGGATTTTGGTGGATCATCATTGTCGCTAACATATCCGCACTTAGCCTTCTCACTTCCATAACTCCACAGCAATGCTCCATATCTTTAACGTAGGTAATCAGGACTAAAATCAGCGTATGATATATTGATTTGGTCACTCATATACTCGGCAAATGCAGTAACATATAACCCACAGTCTTTACAAAAAAATACAGAATAAATTAAAAACATAATGATACATTAAAAAGGACAAATGAAAAATTCTTGATACTTACAGGCTATCGCATTCCTGTAAAGAGATGTCTTGTGCAAATTCAATCATGAAAGGAACTTGAGGCTCCAGAAGTGAACCAGTAATGTTGTCTTTGTATGCATGACAATCAGCAAATTTTGTGCGTTCATTTTCTTCAAAAAATCCACTGTCCAGTAGGTAAGAAGGAAGCATTTTAGACAACATTTTTATCCCATGAGGAATTGTTTTTTTCCTTGTGCTAATTGATGAGTCAAAAACCCTTATCACCTGTTTTCCAACTCAACAACAGCCAACACTCAATGGAATTCTTGATCACAGTTAATTGGGATGTAGACCTCATCTACAAGATGCCATGGTAAAGCAGCTGATATTCCAAAACCTTTGATGATATTAATTATTGGCCTTTCATGTACAGATACAACTGAAGCGCGATCAATATGTTCTTGTGTAGTAAGTCTATCATCATCATCGTCCATGTAATATCTATCATAACAGCTTTTTACATGTGACATGAACAAGCAATGGGTTGTTGTGTATCTGTATTGATCCATGCTGCAAAGTTTTGATTTTTTACGAAGGTAGTAAAAAATCACATCGATGTGCTATAAACAAAATGAAAACATAGTAAGAAATGATATACATCTAAACAATATAAAAAAGGAAATATAATTATTAGAATATAGTATGATACTTTTGCAAATTAAATAGTATGATACTTCTACAGAATGTATCATTGCTAATTAAATAATATGATACTTCTACAGAATGTATCATGTTATTATAATATAGTTATGACTGATACATATTTGATAAATAGTTTAAGATTTTTACCTCATCAGAGCAACATTTGTTTGGTTGTGACATGCCATAAAATCAATTCTTGTTCATCGGAAAGGCAACAACAAAGTCCATCATCGTAAATCCAAAAGAAGAAGATTTTGATCTGTAGTTATCATCCGATGGGTTCCTGCATATATCATACATAAGTTTTGAATATATGTACATGATACATAACACATACTTAATTACAATTTTTATATAACTAAGTATCATGAATTAGTTATAAAAAATGATTACGCATAACACTTGCAAAAATAATGTATAAAACTTACTTATTGTTATGATTTTTTTAGAAGCCCCCTTGTCAACCAATTCATGTAATCCTCAGTAAGTTTCGGCGAAACTTGATCTGTAATGCCACATCCTTCGAACGGGAAATGAAGTCGAGCCATATCCTTCAATTTCTCTTTTCCCTTCTCGCTTGAACCAAAAGAAGTACAATATGGAGATTGAATCCTTCTCGAAGGCATTCTTTTTCAATGCGCATGAGTGACTGAATCGGTTCTAACAACAATCTCCGTTATTGGAATATCAATGGGTAATTGACTGTCGGTCAACAAGTACTGGCTGCTAGTTATATTCTGTGGATTGTAAGAATATAATGGTCTGGCATTAGTAGGATCTTTACCAAAATCTTTGATAAGCGCATCTATTGCTGCTTGAGTTGATGGATATTGTTGTCGAAGTGGAAGATTCCTGTATAATATGATGTAATAATTTTTTAAAATAAATTTGTGTGTAATGAAATTGTGTGTCATAAATCAAAATTGAAAAATTTATCGATGCATCCATTGTTGTTTTTTCGGGCAAAATATGATGGATGTTGTGTTGAACATTATCATCAACATTTTGCTCCATGATATGTTCATTTAAATCTTGGTGCGACTGATGTGCGTCACCATCCTGAATATGCAGTTTTGAAATAAAAATTGTTCATATAATTTGTGTTGATACGTAAGATTGATTATAATCACATGATACATAGTCTTATTTAAATGTGCATGATACATGACAGAATTTAAAATGAAAAAGAAAGTGTTCATGATACATAGCATTGACTATATGTGCATGATACACGACATACATTACAGTGGAAAAATAAAGTGTCCAAATGTATTATAAACATTACCTTTGGAGTATCACTGACTAGTTGTTCACCCTCGTTTACAGAAACACCAACACCATCCTTAGCGACATCCCCTGCATCGTCGACGATTTGATGTTCACCATTTTTACCAGAAAAATCAACACCATCCTCAGCTACACCACCCATATCAGAAAGATCAATTGGTATTTGCTGAGATGTTTGTTTGTCAGACTGAAATGTGCTTGTATTTGCCTGAAAATTGATGTTTTCCTTGCCTATAGATTGCATCAACTGGGAGTGATTTGCTTTTATCAATATAATCAGTTCCTCAAATTTCTTGTCAACCTACAAATTGTAGATACATTTATGATAAAAAAAAATCTGTTTAAAAATAACAAAATAATGTACTTACGTAAGTTTTTAAATGTCCTTTCAACTCTTCAATATATGGAATTATATTGTTGACATTCTGTGAATCTGCAGACCCATGAACATCAGCAGCCGGATTCGGAGACACGTCTGGAACAGAACCATGTACATTATCAGTCGATTTCGGTGACACGTGTGGAACAGAACCATGTACATCATCAACATTTGAATTTGGAGGTAGATTTGACATGGAAATATGTACATCATCATCCGGTGTCGGAGACACATTTGATTGATCAGGCTGGTCCTGTTCTGACACCTTTTTTTTTTGAATAATCACTTTTTTTCTTCTTTTTGGCGGTGGTGGGGGAGATGTATCAGACACTCTAGAATATGTCCTCAATATCTGTTCGGGAGGTTTTGTGGAGAAATTATCAAAATCATCTTCCTCATTTGGTTGTACTAATGGTAGTGATGAAGAATGAGCATGTTCAACTTGAGCAAGGTCAAAAGCTTCAATTTCCTCTGCTATTGGGACAATGTTTGAACATGCATTCTGAATGTATCACAACACATAAGATAATTTAACCGTTAATACAATAATATTTCATAATGTATCACAAGACATAAATAACGATATTCCATATACAAAAATAAAATTTTACCTCTTGGAAAATGGTAGACATAAGCATTTCAAACTTTGCCTTTTCAGACACAACTCTCCAATTGCACATTCTTGGGATGACATTTCATTATCTCACAGCTATTTCAGAATTTAAATTGGATGCACATTCGTATATCCAAACGTTAAGTGCATATGGCATTCCATATAATCGATACAACTTTTTACTAACATCAAAATCCTGTCTAAGTGAACTAATTAGTTTTGGAAATGATAGTTGACCCCAAGGAAAATGTTGATATCTACCATCTTCAATCATTAGAAAGTCGACAATAGATATAGTTGTGTTATCAAGAGTAGCTAATAAAAATGTATGAATAAAGAACAATATAGACATTTGGAGCGCATCCTGATTGTTCTCCCTATTACCCAGCTTAAACCGTTGAACTAGTTGATGCTTTGTAACACTAGTGACTGCTTTTGAAAAAGCATACAATTAGTTGGTTCTGGGTATTTGAAATCATTGGTATTTCCTCTGACCTTAAGTCCTGTTAATAATGCAAATTCATCTATACCAAATTTCAGGACACACCAGTTGGAATGTCTAATATGCAACACATTAGGGTTGATTTGTTCCAATTCTAAAAGCAATAAGCACTTAGTTATTTGGCCTGAAAATTACATTTAGAAATGTCTAAAAAGGGTCCAAAAATTGTATCCTTAAACATTTGGATAACATTCTCCCCTATGTATTTTCCAAAGTCCTTTAGGAAATTGTTGTTAAAATTGACAGCAAACCTTATGGGATGTGTTGGTATCTTTTTTATCTTGTACTTCAGTGGCTAAAATTTGAAAATAAAACAGCAAATTATAACGATATTAAAATATAAATACTAAATAAAACAACTAATACCTTACCGATACATGATATCAGTTTTCAGAAAATTCATACTACATGAAAAACATGTGATACATATATACTACATGTATCAGTGCATTGACTAAACATTATAACATGTGGTATATCTAATACATGTATCAGTACATCGACTAAACACTATACACACTGATTCTATATGTATCATCAAGCACAGTTGATGACGCAGTTATTAAACTTAGTGAATGATACATTATAACAAATTTTCAAAACATGTATCAGTACATCAACTAATCAACTAATACCTTACTGATACATGATATCAGTTTTCAGAAAATTCATACTACATGAAAAACAT